CTACAGCTTGGGTGTGGCACCAATTTGGTTATTCTTTTTTGCGTTTAGTGTTGGTTCTGTCCACTGTAATATTTTGCTCCGGTCAATAATTTGTACTTTGTTATCATTTGAAATAATGCCAGTATCTTCAAGTATAGCTGATACTACATTTGTTGTAAATCTTTTTGACTAATTCTCTTTCATTAATTAAAAAACAGAATAATGGAAAAGAATGGAGACATAATTGCATCTGCTTTAAAGATGACGAGAAATTTGATACTGGAGTGTTTTCATCAATAGGCGGTAGTTTTGAACTACTGAACGTGGCAGAAATAAAAGAATCTAAGTTTTCTTTATAAAGCTGATGTTTATTTTAATTATTTACCCTGTCAGCAGTTGAAAATTTTGCATTGCTCATAAACGTCAACAACTCTCTATCCCAAGGATGTAAATGATGCTACAGTTGGAATGTTATACTTTTCCTAATGGTATAAGACCTGCATTGCTGTTTAAACTGGTTCATTTTTTAAATTGTTTTTTCCAAGAAGATTATTTAAAATCATAACGTATATTTTTTAGTGGTACTATTATTTGAGAAATTATATGCAGCATAGCTTGCTTACGCAATTGTACCCCAGAGAGTGGATTTGAGTACCCAAAGGATGGATGATTTATTTTAGATCTTAACATTCGATTTACTGAATCATATTTATCAAACTACTAGTAAATATAATAGTAAATACAATAGCATTATGTACTGTTGCATTAGTAGCATTAGTAGCATTAGAATAATAATAATTGTTGCAGGGGTAACTTTTATTAATTTTATTTGTCTCTCTCATTTCTTACTTTTTCTATGACTAATAATGAAACCAGGGAAAAAAGTTGTATTTCTAAAAATGTTGTTTTTACTTTACACTAATCTACATATTTATATTAATAAAAATATATATTTTTTTATTTTTGCTTTTTTACGCTCCCCTCCTTTCACCCCAGCAAACATTCTATAGAGAAATTATATAGACATTATGAGAGGACCACTGTTGTTTTGCTCATCGGTTACTTAGTGGACCATTAGTGGCAACCACCATAAGCGGCTAGCCAATGACTAACCACTATTAACATACGGAAAGTTATTGACTGACCATTTATAGCGGCTGCAACTAATGGTACACTAAGTAAGCAATGCGCAAAACTTCAATAAACCACTAAAACATGCATATATAGATTCACTGCAAGTCCACTGAAACAATGTTAGCTAGGACATGCCATAGCTGCCATTCCCTAGTTTTGCCACTGGGCGTATGACACGAACTCACAAAAATCAAGCATAATTTGGGTTAAATTTTAATAAAAATTTACAATTCTTTATAACTCATAATAATTATCTATAAATCTCTATCCGCTAGAAAATGTAAATATTTACATAGTTTTTGCTTTTAATAGTGGTTAGTTTTTTTAACTTTATTTAATAAAATTATTGAAAAAGTTGATTATGGAATATAACGTACTACATAATTTTTATTTTGAATTTCTTTGTATAACATAATGTAGTCAGTTGCACGTAGAATCTCTGGTAGAATATGATGCCTACAAAAGTCTTCTTTTGAAATATTTAGTTTAAGTGTTTCTGTTAATATAGTATTGACATAATGATAACAATTATATCTTTGCTCATGGTACCTAATTTCAAATATATATTCCATATATATATATATATATATATATATATATATATATATAGAATTAGATAATCACAAAGAGAGAGAAAGAGATAGAAACCTTTGATAAATCCAAACATTATTGCAAATTGACTTTTTTAACGTTGCATCCCAATATAATTCAAGATCCTTTTCATTATCAAGAGATTCTATGATTGGTATGCATAAGCAACAGTTCCAATTATGTTTTTCAATAATAACACCATGTTGGTTAAAACTATAGATATTTGCTAACAAAAACAATTTTCTTGCATTGTTATACGTTATTTAAATATAACTTTATAAAATTAAATTAAATATTATTATAAATTTATAAAAGTATTTTAAGTATTGATAACTTTAATGTAAAATATAAAACTTTGATCTTTTATTACCTTGAGAATCAGTAAGAGCAACATGCAAGTCATCGCCATCAGTATAGCTTCTAATAAATTAAATGGATATATAAAAATATATATTGTGTGTGTGTGATCGTGAATTTTACTTTCATTTTAAAATACTTAGACATACATTAAAAAGTTACCATTAGTCGGTTTTACTAATATACTAAATGGCATTATTGCAAAACCGCTGACTTCTCCATTGATAATGGCATCAAGATGAAAATAAAATGGACTGGGAAAATAGTAGAAATTTAACAGATCTTTTTCGTGCAGTTTTATGTTACAAACAGGACATTTTTTAGGTATGTTAAAAGTCATTATTTGCTGATTCTCTGAGCAGTGGCAAAAACAACGAACTTGTAAAGGAACCATGAATGAATAACCTTATATTATACGTATGAATATAATTATATAACAAAATAGCATATGTAAATATATATATATATATATATATATATATATATATATATATATATATATATATATATATATATATATATATATATATATATATATATATATAGTAGTGTAATAAAAAATCAAATAATTTAACCCATTTATATTTGCAGCGGTTCTTTTTTTTTATCGTTAAATGACTCTATTTCTTATTCGATTTGAATATAAAAATAAGATAAATAAATAATGACACTTTTGAAAAACATATGAATAAGTAAAATTGTTTTACATTCTTCTTGTTGTGAAAACATATTGAAACCTCTGATTCAATGTTTTCAGCTAATTTTTTTTTTCTATAATGAGAAAAATATTTAGAAGTTTGTATATGATTGGTAGTACATAAACAAGCTCTTCAACCTCGTAAAAATATGTACATATATTTGTGTTTTATCTCATAATAATATGTAGATACATATTATGTATGTACATATTATTATATTATGCTTTAAATAAAAGATTAAAAAAATAAAAAATAAAAAAAAGATTGGGATAAAAATTCCAGTAGTTTTTTAGCACTGCAATCCCGATAGGTAACTCAATTTAATTAGCCATAAACAGTTCTGTTACTATTAATGCAACTACGGACAAGCACAACATATTAAAGTTTATGTACAGATACGTAAAATTTTATTAAGTTATGTTAGTGTTGAGATACTAACTTAATTTCAACTTTTGTAATAATTCTATTAATTATATTAATCTTTATATCTCTATTAGAATCTATGAGCTATATAGTTTTACAATCTGAAGACGTTAAAAGTCAAAAAACAGGTTTTCAAGATGAATGTGTAGAGATTTCAACTAATCCATTTGTAAAAATTATAAAATAAATTTTATTTATTTTTTCCTTTAATAATCTTTTCATGGTAACATACTTAAAAAAAACTGTAAACTTATTTTCCAGACTACTCAACAAGTTTTAAGTTTTAAGTTTTTATTTTAACGCGTAAAAATTATATTTTTAATGAGAAAATTTTCTTTGTGATAAGATAATATTTGTAATGAGATAATTTTAAGATAAATTTATTAATCTTTCAGAATACTGTGTAATTTTGTTATAATAATAGTTTTAGGTAAAGTTAGATGATACCTAGTAAACTAATTTACATACTAGTTAGAGTATGCTTAGTATATTGTAATTATAATTTAATTATAGTATATTTAATTTAATTATTATTATCTAATAATTAAAAATTCAAAACAAGTATTTATTTATGTTTGTTTGAAAACTTGGTGCTAAGGATTTGTATATAGAAACTATGTATATATTGCTTTCCTTCGCGTATCGTTTGTTTTGACTTTGTGCTAGATTTTCGATGCTTGTCTATCTAATTTCAGTGCTTTACACAGCCAATTTTCAATACTTAATTACGAGACGTTTTTTTAAAAAATAACCAGCTTTTTCAGCACTACAAATTCAATAATTTTGGATCCAATTAACTTCTAAAGTTGAAATACTCTTTATTTTAGTATTATACGACCATGTTAATCATATATAAAAGTGTCGACAAAAAAAAATCATGCTGTATGGCTTTTGTGGAGTAGCCTCAGATCACCTGTAAACTTTTGTCAAAGATAATCTTTTTTTTTTACTCCAACAACATCTATCTGTTATCATCTGAAAACTCAATGACCCTTAATAATATCTTTAGGAAAATGTAACTACATCTGGGAATTTTTCTGTAAGTCTAATAACATCTGGAAGAATTTTTTCCAGATCTTATTATCTCTGAAAAAATTTTATATGTAACTGCGCCTAGTTAAAGTAAAGTATTTATAATTTTTATTATTTCCAGGTTTATTTTTTACATTTGAAAAAAATTTTATATCTAACTACATCTGGTTAAAATAATAACTATTTAATAGCTTTTTTCTTGAATAATTTCATCTGAAAAAAATTCTGTTGTTATTCTTAATTTAATTGAATAAAGCTAACTACACATATAGAATCCACAGGTGCAGTTGCACAGATTGTTTTATTCTTAATATCAGGGCCGTAAACAGGATTTGGGTTTTTGTCAGTCAAATTTTAATCAATTTTTTCTTATGGAATAAACTTGTTTTGCCAAATTTTGATTTTGATGGATCAATTCTTTTTATCTTTTTAAAAACATTTTACAATATTGCTAATTATTTTATCAACTATTTAACTTTTTGGGGATTTTTTTTTTTTTATAAATTAATAATTTTTATTATTAATATGTAATAATAAAATTATGATAAATAATTTTATTATTATTTTACTCTAAAGTTTTGTAGTTATGTTTACAACCTCTTTTCTTTTATATTGTTTAAAGTTTTGTTTATGTAGAAGATTATATATATATATATATATATATATATATATATATATATATATATATATATATATATATATATATATATATATATATATATATATATATATATATATGTATATATATATATATATATATATATATATGTATATGTATAAATATATATATATATACATATATATATATATATATATATATATATATATATATATATATATATATATATATATATATATATATATATATATATATATATATATGAATTCTACTTTATTGTATATTATACTTTACAAGAAATATGTAAAATTTTTATTTTTTTATTTTTTTAAGGTTCCAATGATAAGGTTTTATAGTTCTTCTTTCTTTCTTAGTTTTTATACGCAGAATAAAAACTAAGAATTGTTTTAAACTGTAATGAGCAAACTTTAAAAAAAGTTGCTGAGAAAATTTTGTAGATTTGTTTTATAATAAAAAGCATAGTCTTTTTTAAATTTTGAACAAATTTTACGCAAAAGGATTGCCTTTTGTTTTTACCCAAGTTTGGGTTTTACTTAAAATCTTGATTATATTGCCCGTTCAACCTCTTAATCCAAAATATCCTTCAGCAAGCAAGCTCATAGTCTATCTTCATTTTAAAATGGGCTCCGAACAAGTAATCTACTTAATAAGTTTGCTCCATAACACAAAAAGAAGTTAATTCAAACATTACTTCTATAAAGGCTGGGAGAATTGGCTTGTGTTATGGAGTTTGAATTTAATACAGCTTGTTATTTAAGGTTGCCAATTACTACAACTTGCAACAAGATTCATTTGTCAGTTTAAACATAGTTATTTAATAAAAGATCTATTTTCCCAACGTATTTCATTAAACACCATTGTTCTCCGTACCTTTTTAACTATTGACTAGAATTAGCAAATTTAATTTTGAAAAAAGATTCTTGTCTATCTTTTAGTTGATAGAGAAAGTTTTAGTTTGAAGAGTGTAAAACAAAAAGTGGTTGAAGTACTGATATTTGGACATATATACAGTTTAACGTCACCAAAACGTAACGCTTTTATATAAAATTTTAAAATTTTACAGAACTGAGCAAACATTATTTTAGTGAATTTGGGGTTAATTAGATTTTTGCTCATCGGATACATAGTGAACCATTAGTGGCAACCGTTAGAAATGGCCAGCCGATAATTTTTTGACATGTTAATAGTAGCTAGTCATCAGTTAGCCGCTTTTGGAGGCTGCTACTTATGATCCAGGATTTATCTTGGACGCTTGATGTAAAGATTATTATTATTTTTTATTTAATTCATTCTGTCTCAGTTGAATTTGTCGCAGATTCCAACTGTGTTTTATATTTTCTAATTTTCTATCAATGGAACACATTTTCAGAAATATTTCTAAAAAGATTTGTTAAAATAGATGGTATTTCCAAAGCAGATTGCAATAAGTGACAAAGTACAAGACAAGTACAAGACAAGTACAAGACAAGTACAAGACAAGTACAAGACAAGTACAAGACAAGTACAAGACAAGTACAAGACAAGTACAAGACAAGTACAAGAAAAGTACAAGACAAGTACAAGACAAGTACAAGACAAGTACAAGACAAGTACAAGACAAGTACAAGACAAGTACAAGACAAGTACAAGACAAGTACAAGACAAGTACGAGACAAGTACAACTCAAGTACTAGACAAGTATTAGACAAGTATTAGACTAGTACAAGAAAATTCCTGAATAAAGGCAACTTTTTAAAAAACCTATCTTCTTTGAAATCCTGTTAATTGATTGAAATTGCATTCTGGTATGTCCTGCCGGACTTTTTTTGCAACTAAAACTAAGTTATAAGTAAATAAACTTTGTGAATAGATAATTCTACTTTAAAATATTAAAAAACATCACTTTTTTAATGATAAATTATTCAATCAATTAAAATAAAATAATAGAGAATAACACATGTTTAAAAATATTTTTTATTAGAACATAAAAGTTAGTGTAGTAAAACATAAAGTAATATATCTTACTACAAAAAAAAAAGGAATAACATCATGATATATCAATGAAGAATACTCACAATATTTTTTAACAATATGATTTTTTGGGTGGGTTTATGTTCTTGTTTTTGTCATTACAAGATTTTTTACAAAAAAAAAGGAATAACATCATGATATATCAATGAAGAATACTCACAATGTTTTTTAACAATATGATTTTTTGGGTGGGTTTATGTTCTTGTTTTTGTCATTACAAAATTTTATTTTATTGTACATAGAGGGTTTGTCCATTGATTAAGCGAACAATGCTACTTTTTTAAATAAATGTAATTACTTAAAAATGGGAAAATTAGACAATGTTTGTAGTCCTGTGTGTTATACACTCGCCCTTAAGTGTTTTTATAAAGTTATTCATAAATAAAGTTATTAAAATAAAGTTATTAATGTTTCTGCTTTTAAAAAATTGTTTTATAATTTACAAAGACTCAACACAAACAGAACTAAATAACTCGTAACACTATCATTTTTTTTAAAGTTGTTGTTGGTTAGTCTGGTGTGCAAACAAAAAAGATGAAAGTACATATTTTATATTATAATATTTAAATATTTATAACAGGGTTCGGCAACCAGTGGCTTGCAAGCTTAGTGTGATCTTTCGATGTCAAGATGCGT